AGAAGAAGAAGAAGAAGAAGAAGAAGAAGAAGAAGAAGAAGAAGAAGAAGAAGAAGATCTCAAGATGGCATTATTCTACAATGATTTTTATGTTGGCATCATTTATACTGCCTTAAGTATCCTGGGTCTTTTTTCCTTCCTGTTCTTTCAGCAGCTTCGGATACCATCGGCCTGGGTATCTTTCTGGATCACAAAGCAGGTCTGATGTCACGAGGCAGAGTTTTGCAGTAGTTCTCTGCCCTGCTCTTATCTCTCTGGAAGATTTCCAGTGGTGCTCCTCAGAGATCGTTGCTCCTCAAAACAGAACTTGTTCCATGATTCTCTCACCATTGCATTTGAACATCTCTATGAAGCTGCTTCGAGAGCTCCTGGAGGGATCTGGAGCTGATGATCTCCAAATCTATTTTTCTGACAGGTCTTCAGAGTGGGGTAGCTCCCCCAGTGCCGGCCCACAGTCAGAAATGGGTCGGAGGAGGCATTTATTCGACTGAAACTGAATTCAGATCAGAGGGAGGTGGTGGCCAGCAGGGAAAAGTCCAGGGTGGTGATCCACCACCTATCCCGAAGGGGATTTCAAGAAACGGGTACCGTTCTGGAATCACTTCCTCATCCTAATCCAAGGTTGTGACCATAGCTAAGAAAGTCTTTTCTGGACTTTAGTTAATAGTCTAATTACACCCCTTGCTGGAAGAAGATGACTTTTAAACTGGGATAGAAGTGCTAGTAAAGGTAGTCCTTGTTTAACATCCACTTGTTCAGCCACTGTTGAAATTACGACGGTGCTGAACAAGGGGGACTTACAACGGGTCCTCATAGTTGCAGCCATCACAGAGTCCCCGCAGTCATGTAATCACGATTCGAGCGCTTGGTGACTGGCTTGCAATTATGACGTTGTAGCGTCCTGCAGTCATGCGACTGCCATTTGCGACCTTCCCTGCTGGCTTCCCACAAGCAAAGTCAATGGGGAAGCTGGCTGGAGGTCACAAATGGTGATCATGTGACAATGGGACACTGTGACCATGTGGGATTCACCTAACGACCGCAACTGGGACTGCTGGGACTGTCGTCGTAAGTTGGCACAGTCACATGATATCGCCTCACATGATTGCATTGCTTAGCAATGGAGTTCCCAGTTCCAGTTACCATTGGTAAGTGAGGACTATGTATCCTTCGGCAGTATTTTCAGACTCTAGTTGCAGCTGCCCTTTGGTCTACTCCAGAAAGTTCAGTTGATACACCACCTGGTAACCAGATTGCCTGCTGGAAAAACTTATACCCACACCTCAAATATTACACTGCCCCTCATTTAGTAGGGCTGTGGATGCTTCAGAAATGATTCAGAGGTGCTTCAAGATACACAGGACCAAGAACACAGCATTTTTTAAAAAGCAGCTGTATCTTCTTCCAGGCTGTTAAAAAGACACAGCCGCTTTAAAGCTGGCTCTTTAAAGCAGCCGCATCCATCCCCAAGCTTGAATAGAAGGTGGAATCAAGAAATGTATTCCAAAGCACCTCATCTGAATGACAACTCGCCCCTACTACTTTGATTTGGAATGAAATATGAAGTGTTGGTTGTTCTACTTTGCTCCCTCCCTGAGATCATTTGAGGAGACTCATTTAGCATTGTGGTGTAGCTGTTTTGGGGCAACTCAAGATCATGGACTTCTCAGCCCCACCCCATATATCTGGGATGGATGTCTTCTGATCTCAGAGCTTTTAAAAAACCACCTTAAAAACAAACCCAGTTTAAAAACAGGCTTTGAACTGCTAACCATGAACTTCAATTCAAATTTTAGTTGTACCTCTGTCCCTTGGGGTTAACTTTGGTTTTGTGATTTGATTGTAAACAGGAGAGACTCTGGTAGCTGGAGGCTCACAAATAAACAGCAATAACAGAGTGTACTTGGTTGTGAGAAGAGATTTGACAGATTCAGGGAGTGGAACTTTCACCTTGGATTCCTTCAGGATCAGAGGCAGTTTTTCTTGAAAAATCAGGACACACTGATCTGTGCTGGCTCATTTTTAGGTAGAGCCATCTCAGATTTGGTTTTCTGTTTTTTCATGTTTTTTTCAGGGTTTTTTTTTTGCAAGGCTCTGTAGAATAAATTCACAGAAGCCCACGTCGTAACATATCTTCTAGCTTTTATAGTGCAAAGGTTTTATTTCTGTTTTCTGCCATGTGTTAACCTGGCTTTCTCTCTAAAAACAGAATCCCCTTCAAGGGAAGCTTGATCCTTGATAACTTCATAGACATATCCATGTAGTTTTCTTGACCAAGTACTAACTAGGTCCAAGGAGAGCTTAGCTTGTTGAGATTGGCCAAAGTTGGCTAGGTTTTTCTACCTGCTAAAGATATCTTGAGTCAACCTGGTCATGGTGTTTTCTTGACAATTATATGGAAGTGGTTCACCAATGCTATTTTCTGGGATATTTAGGGGACTTCCCATTCGAATCTATAGCTTTGAGATCTTCTGGTGGTCTCCCATCCAAGTACTAACTCTGCTCAAGGTTGGCTACATTCTGCTACCCGCTGAAGATCTCTAGAGTAAAGCTTGATTCCTGGGGTCTCCTGGTTTTTTTTTTTGATTTCCCAGTCTAGCCTACAGGCATTGCCTGGTAGTCTCCCATCCAAGTTCTAACCAGCCCTGGCCCTGCTTAGCTTCTGAGACCAGACAAGATCAGACAGCTTAATCTTCGCTGCCCCCTTCTGGCTATCGCAAGCATCACATCCCCTTGAGAGTGTAAGGTAGGGTAGAAAGAAACTTTGAAAGGGTTTCCAATGCCAGCCCCTTGAGGTAGGTCAGGGCAAGGAAAAGACACCACAGGAATTCCAGGAATGCCACTTTATTGTAGTCAGGTACAGTAACAGAAAATTTAAAAGCTGTCAGTGGGCAGAGTGGAAACTGTCCGTTTCCCTCTGCCCTATCTTATACCAAACAGAATCAAGGTGAGGTTATCTTGAGATTCTTTCTCACACTTTCCACATCCCCAGGACTGAGTTGCTACTTCTCCTCCCTTAATGGTTCCTTCCTTCCTTCCTTCCTGCCTCCCTCCCTCCCACCAGTGTTTCTCAAATATGGCAACTTTAAGATGAGTGGGCTTCAACTCCCAGAATTGGCAACTCTGGCTGGGGAATTCTGGGAGTTGAAGCCCACACATCTTAAAGTTGCTAAGTTTGAGAAACACTATGGGAGTTGTTTTTTTTTTTGAGGGGGAAAATAAACCAGATTTCTCCCTTGCACCTGATTTGACTAATAGGCCACTGTTTGCTAACTTCTTCATCTGTAGTCACAATTTGTCTTCCTTCATATTGGCATAAGGACCAAGACATAAACTTGGAATTTTCCCCCCTCTCCTTTACTTTTAAACCTCAGAGTCAAACCTTGATTTCAGAGACTGCATGCATCCCCAAAAACCTTGGAGGTAGATTCCAAAAAACCAAAAATGTATTATCAAGTATTCATTTTTAATGTGTTGAAAAGGAAAAATCAACAGATGATTAAGGCATAATCACCTTATGTGTATTTTATTTTCATTAAATGAATGTAGATAAAATTAGAACCCATCTCATTCTTTTTCCTGCCCACTCCCTCTTTTTCATATTTCATCCTTTCACAATTCATTAGACCTCAATCTATTTGTCTGCTTAAATTAGTGGGGGACTTGATTTTTTTAAGGCAGTGGTTGCTCCCTTAATTTTAAAAATATTTCTTGGCCTTTAGGAGCTATTGGGAACACGACTAGGGACAGAATGAAGGTGCCAACACTTTCTGGCCTGATTTCTGAGGTTTTTAAGGAGCAGAAGGAGTACCTTAAACTTCCCATTCATCCCCTTAGGAAGACTGGACTAGTAAAAATGTTGCCCCCCAAATCTTGGCCTGACCTTGCCCATCCCATCTTACATATAAACTTCCTTCCATTCTCAAATTGGCTCATCACAGAATCAGGCCAACCTATGGATCCGAAGACCTTCGCTTTCCATCTCCCTTTTTGCCGTGAGAAAAAAATTAACTTAATGAAGCCCACCTCAGCTGCCTTGTTTTATCTCTAATAGGGGAATGTGACCGCTCCACAGGGTTGTTCTGACAGTCACGAGAGGACGGAGCCCTTGGAAAAGTTCAGAGTGTTTTATCCAGGCGGCTGTTCCAATTGTTCTGGAATGAACAATTTTGGAATGATTCCTCCTACCCCACCCATCTTAAGTTATTTTTCCCCACCTGGCCACAATTATGCCTTTTTTGGAGCATGGATCTTCACGTGGGTGATGAGGGTCGAACGCAGCCGAAAGCATTTCCCGCACTCCGAGCATTCATGTGGCTTCTCCCCGGTGTGAATCTGTAAGTGTCCAGCTAGGAGGGTGCTCACCCCAAAGGTCTTCCTGCACTCCAGGCACTTGTACGGCTTCTCTCCGGTGTGCACTCGCCGGTGCGTGATCACTTGCGAGCTGTTGCAGAAGCGTTGGTGGCACTCGGGACACTGGTAGGGCTTCTCCCCCGTGTGGGCCCTCTCGTGTCGGATCAGGTCGGAGCTGATGCTGAAGTCTTTCCCGCAGTATGAGCATTTGAATGGCTTGAGGCCGGTGTGGATCTTCTGGTGGTTCTTCAAGTGAGACCTCTGGCGGAAGGCGTGCCCACATTCCCCACACTGGTAGGGCTTCTCGCCCGAGTGTGTCCGCTCGTGTTCGATCAGCTGCATGGTGACTGGGAAGCCCTTTCCACACGCCTGGCACTGGTAGGGTTTCTCCCCTGTGTGAGTCCTCTGGTGAACCACGAGGGTCGACTTGGACCGGAAGCTTCTCCCGCAGTGTGAGCATTTGTACGGTTTTTCTCCCGTGTGGACTCTCTCGTGAGCAAGGAGGCCTGTCCTCCGGCTGAAGCTTTTCCCACACAGGGCACACATCGCCTCCTGCTTCCCTTGGGAAGTCATCTGATGCTTAGCACGTTCCTCCCGGGAGCTGGAAACTTCTCCCTGGGCGACAGGCTCCTCCAAACCCTTTCCAGGTTTCTTCTCCGATTCGGGATGACCTGAACCAACTTCCTCCTCTGTTGCAAGAAGGACGTGGCTTCTTGCCCCCTCTTCCTGCAATGTTACTGGCGCTGAATTATTCAGCTTGGGCTTGCCAGTCCCTCGCCTGTAAGAATAAAACAATGCATTGATTTATTTATACAATTTAGAGGCTACCCGACTCCAGATAATCCTGGGAGGATTAGTCTTTAAAAAGGAGGAAGCAATAATATGGAAAAACAGATTATGTATGTCCAGAAAGGAAAAATCATGCTTCTCAAGCAAAAGAACTGCCCCCAAGGGGTTCATAACCACTCAAGGCCTGGAAGAATAGCCAGGCTGCCAGTTGCCCACCCCTCCCATCGATAGGCATGCAGGCCTAGTGGAGAGAGCTCGCCCAGAGATAGCCCAGTGTCCACTCTGCAAATGGGACACCTACCCCAAAAGCCTTCCTGCTTGACCTCTGTGCCAGGCTGGTCCCCCCCCAGCCTCTGAATCAGCCCCCGCAAGTTGGAGGGAGTTCACAGGCAGCGCTGGGCAAGGCACCTGAAAAACAGAAGGAAGGATTTGATTCAAGGCTCAGTGCCTTATTTACTTGACCAGCTGGGTTGGAATGAGGCAGCCTTCCAGATGTTGCCAGAATCCCATTCCCATCATCCCCAGCAGGTTTAGCAGAGGAGAGGGTAGACCAACTATCGCTGGAAGGCTACACAATGAGCGATGGATCACATTTATGTCCTGCCTTTTATTCAGGAGCTCAAGAGAGCATATATGGCATTTCCTTCAAACCCGGGTCTCCCCACTCCGAGTCCAACATCTTCCCCACTACCCAGCGCTGATTCTCCCATGGAATGACATGAAGTGGGGGAATGCATGTGGTCCACAGCTTGCTCACCTTGGCCATCAACTAACCAACCCTAATGGCCGGGTTCACACAAGCAGGTAAGTGAAAATCAAACTACATTAGGGCTTGTGATGTGTGAACCCAGCCAGTGGGATCCTTCCCAGAAGGTATTGATAAGCCGGCAGTCATACTAGAAGCAGAAGCGAGGGAGGGGACCGAAGACAGGCTGTCTTCTTGCTGCAATCTGCCAAGCCTTGTTTTAGACTGCAATTCACCACCAGATCTTTGTTAACCGAGATGCAAAGCCAGCCCGGAGGAAGAGAGAGGCTGAAAACAAGGGAAGGACCACCTGTGTGGCCCATGGGATGCACACAGCTCCTCCAACCACCTCTTGAGTGAGTGAGGTTTAACTTCTCAACCCTTTTATTGGTGTGGGGAGATGTCCGGTGGTGTTGGCCCTTCGAGGTAGTCCAGACAAGAAACACAACAATGGATGCTAACTCTATTGTTAGGTTACATTAACAGAATCTCGCAAGACTGAAAATATTTCTCCCCTCCTTTCCTTTACTATTAGGGAAGGTCCCTTCTAAGATGCTTCCCACACCCCTTCTCCTTCTGTGGGCTGAGATACCTTTTACATGCCAGTTGTCCCGTCTGTGATGGAATGGATTTATGAAGGGCAGGCTCAGGGAGATTAACATTTTCTTAGCTCCCCAGAAGAGCGTGGGAGGAACAAGAGGATGTGACTGGCGCCTCCCTGAGGAATTCACACTGTTGTGGCTGGCTGACTTTGGGAACTGGGGTTTCAGTCTGGGAAGA